ATATATATATATATATATATATATATATATATGAAATAAAATAAATATTTTGGGGACTATATTGAGATTGCCAATCTAGGGAAAGATTTGTGTTTGATTATTGCAAATAGTATTAGATATCCTAATTTAATTATTTTTATGATTTTTATACAAGTGAAAACTAATAAGTCAATATTTGATCATCATTGGTACGATCTCATTGGCTTATAAGAAATTAACCGTTTTGGGCGTGCCCGTACAATTTTACCTTTTCGGAACTTATGAGCTTCAAAATACATTTTTGAGGGTAAGGGTGACCCGACGAATTTATAAGCTCTTAGTTCTCCTACTCCTCAACCAATATGAGAATAAATATCCTTATCAGTGCTCCTCCCATAGAGGAGCCAAGGGCTCATGGCCCTCCTTTTAGTGCAAAAATATGGTTGCCTTAATGTAATCAACCGTGAATCGGCATAACTTGATTCTATCCTGAAAGCACAAGTTCGTCCTGATGGTGTAGGGAAATCTAGGGATGACATCACATGCGTAGTGGAAGAACAGAAAATAAAAATCCTCAAATTTCACAAAAATGTGTTCGTCGTCATGCGAAGATTGGTGCGTAAAACCCGCGAAACTTAAAACCACATGTGAAATAGTTATGTTACATAGGGAGAGTAAATATCCCCGAATCCTTACAGATCTGTAGGAGAGGATGAAGGAGGTCAAGTGTCCTCCTCTTTAGCAATGATCCACATAGCAGGGCTACAGTGACGCTCCTCAAATCACTGTCTAAATCTCCACACCTGCTATCTAAGGAGGAGAATAGGAGGTGGTAACAAAAAAGCGTCTAGCTTATGGGTGTTTAATTCCCTCCTATTTATAAAGGCCCCCCTGTCAACTTAACCCTAATGGATCCTACCCTATTGGGTATTGGATCTTCATCCAATTACCTAAGCCTCTTAGATTAGTGGATCTTTATCCAATAATATCTCATTAGCTCTTATTGTATCTCATTCATATGATCTAATAATTTAGGGACTTATTGGATATCCAATAAGCCCATAAATTATTGGCTCATATAGATAAGATCTAATAAGAGTCAACTAAGTCAGTAGTGTATACACCATATGGGATATGAAAATGCAAGAAGCCCGATCTTAAGGTAGTTAAGATTTGAGGATGCCCTGCCCACGTTAAAAGATAACCCCGATAAGTTGGTATCGCGGACGGAGTGGTGCAAGTTCGTGGGATACCCCAAGGAAACTTATGAGTATTATTTCTATCATTTTGAGGACCAAAAAGTCGTTGTAACTAAGAGAGCAGTGTTCCTTGAGAAGGAACATGTTCTTGGCAGAGATAGTTGGAGTATAATAGAGTTGAGCGAGGTTGGAGAACCTAGCTCAAGCACCACTCTACACCCCAAGTCTGTTCAGGTACCTAACACACAAGTTTCGACTTTAAGTAGATCCGGTAGAGTATCACATCCTCCTGAGAGATATGTGGGTCATATTAGATGAGAGGATGTTGAGGATATTGATCCTCAGACCTACGAGGAGGCTATTACGAGTATAGACTCTCAGAAGTGGCAAGAAGCCATAAATTCTAAGATGGATTACATGTACTCCAATAAGGTTTGGAACCTAGTTGATGCATCCGAGAGTATTGTACCCATCGGTTGTAAATGGATCTTCAAGAAGAAGATCCGAGTAGATAGAAAGTTAGAGACCTATAAAGCAAAGCTAGTGGCTAAGGGATATCTTCAAAAGCAATGTGTTGATTATGACGAAACCTTCTCACCCATAGCCATGCTAAAATTCATCTAAATTTTATTGGCTATTGTAGCACACTATGATTATGAGATCTGATATATGGATATAAAAACTGCGTTCCTCAATGGAAACCTTGAGGAGGAGGTGTATATGATATAGCCTGAGGGATTTGTATCCAAGGACTGCCCAAATAAGGTGTGTAGGCTGCTTAGGTCTATTTATAGACTGGAGCAAGCTTCTCGAAGTTGGAACATAAAATTTGATGAGGCAATCAGATCCTATGACTTCATTAAGAATGAAGATGAGTCTTGCGTATACAGGAAGGTAAGTGGGAGCGCTATCACTTTCTTGGTATTATATATGGATGACAACCTGATCATCGTGAATGATATTGGAATACTATCCACAGTAAAAGCTTGGTTATCTATACACTTTTCCATGAAGGATTTATGGGAAGTATCCTATATCTTATGGATTCGCATCTATAGAGATAGACACCATTGTCAAAAAGATTGACATAAAAATTTTCAAGAGATGTCTCATACCGATGAGATATGAGATCATTTTCTAGGAGTATGTCCCTGAATACTCCTAAAGAAATGGTGAATATGGATAGGATACCCTATGCCTCAGCGATAGGGTCTATCATGTATATCATGCTATGTACCAGACCTGATATAGTGCATGCTCTGAGTGTCACGAGCAGGTATCAAGCAGGTCAAGGCTTGGAGCACTGAAAAGTAGTAAAATGTATCCTTAAGTACTTATGGAGGACTAATGATCTTTTACTGGTATATGAAGGTAGTAGCCTCAAGGTGGAAGGCTACACAGACTCGAGTTTCTAGTCCGATGTCGATGATAGCAAGTCAAATTCGAGGTATGTGTACACCATGAATGGAGGAGCAGTATGCTGGAAGAGTTCCAAGTAAGGTACAACTACTAGTTCGACCACAGAGGTAGAGTGCATTGCTATAGTAGAGGCAGCAAAGGAGGGAGTCTGAATGAAGAAGTTCGTCACAGATTTGAGAGTCGTACCAAGCAACAAGGAGCCGATTTTCTTATATTGTGACAACAACGTGGCGATTGCTCAAATGAGGGAACCCGGGTCTCATCAAAAGTGTTCTGAGGAGGTTCGAGCTTATTAGAGAGATCATGGCCCGAGGAGATGTAGCAGTGGAAAGAGTTTCATCCGAAGATAACATCGTAGATCCATTGACAAAGTCGTTGTCTCATATTGTCTTTGAGCATCATAGGAGTCTGATGGGGGATCAGACACAGATGATTGGTTTTTGGTCAAGTGAGAGATTGCTAGTCGTAGGTGCCTTATAAGCCAATCATGTGAGTGATGACACATGTGATATGATACATATTCTTTTTTCTTACTATATTATTTAGCATTTTATCACTTTATATTGCTTGTTGCATATATATATATATATATATATAT